ACAATCAAAAATGTGCAATGAAAACCTCCAGAATTAGATTTGAAGGGGCAGGATTTGATTTGTATCCATTTTGAAAGATTTCCCGGGCTATAGCTTCTTAAAGGCTGACGCTAGTGATATTACGGGACATATATATTTCAATGGAACCGTGGTGTTACGCTATATGACTTCTCTCTTGTTGACAATTCCCATGAAGAGGGCAGAACAAAAGCCGGGATTGTGGATTCAATAGAGGTGTTTTAAAGGAAAGATCACTTTAAAAAGGCCAGTCTTAAATATTAACTCTGGTCTGTGGAGTTTTGCCTCATAAAATTATAGGTCTTTTCACTTATTTATGAATTTAATAAAGAAGTTTGTGGTCAACCGACTGTTTTATAGCTTTTAATTTCGTATTTTATTTTTGTTTTTGTTTTCTTGCCGACCCAAAGGAGACATCCACAATAAACCATAAGTAAATATGCTGAATTTGAACCTCATTTAATTCTCACAAAAGCATTACACAACGATCTCTCTGCGCTTTCTAAAGTATTAGTATCAAAGTTTCAGAATGATGAAAAGTTATGACTGTTACCATAGCAACTAATGCTTAAAAACAAAATATTAGAACTTTTGAATGGTCAATCGTCCTGAAAAAGGCACGATGTAACAGGAAGCTGAAACCCGCAAATTGATACTTTGCAGCAGTGGCATCGCGCTGGGGGTACCGCATGTATGTCTATGGCGCAATGTTCATCATTTACCATGGTGACGTGATGCACACATTAGAAAATAAAGTGAAATACGTTGGAACATTTGATTTTCAATGAAAAATAGGTGAGAGTGTCTGAAACTGAAAAAACTGTTGGCTTAAGAACAATTTATGGTCATGTCGTGCGTCAAATCGTTTCCGTCGACCGACTTGGACCTCCAAAATTTTCTAACTACGCGTCGAACCAATGCAGACGAAGAGGGAAAGCGACTCAGAAAATAAGGGTTGTGATTGGTCCTCTCTGCACATGCTCTACATACATTTCTGGTATTCCGCTTTCCCACTTCATTTTGTAAACATGTACATCATTTTTAAATCATCCTCTGAAGAAAATGGATCAACTAAAGCAGGGGCGTCCAAATTTTTTCTTCAAGGGTCACATATCTAAACACAGAAGAAGCAGAGGGCCGATCGAGGGAAGTAGACTGGTGCTCAGTACAGTGAATAATTGAAAATTGTGCATGTTTAACACATTACAATCAGTCTTTATTCATGCTAAGATCCTGAAAATCACACACTAAATATTAAATATTAGCTTTGTCAGGGTAGAATTCCAAAATTTTTAATTGATGCAAGGTAATTTGGGCCAATTCACCTGGAAGTCTGAGGGCAAAGAAAAATTTGTCTGAGGGCTGCATTTGGCCTACGGGTCATAGTTTGGACATGCCTGAACTAGAGGTATGTCTGATCGAAGAGGTGAGGAAATATGATCGCCTCTACAATTCCTCTTCGAAAAGCTACAAAGACGGTCAAATGTCAAGTAATTCACGATCGGTGAAAACCTTGGTGTGGACACTTCACCAATGAGTTCATGTAATTTTGCAACTCAGCCCAACCTAGCGTTGAGGTGGTGAATTACTATGTGGCACAAAGACCTCAACGCAGATATATAATCAAAAAAACAACGGTGACAACGAGATGGAGACAGTGTATGTTCAGTGGACAGAGAACTAAAATTTGGTCTTAATGCTAAAGGTGCACTGTGTAACTTTTCTGGTGGAGGTCCATCAAATGCTTTTCTCCATGGAGATGTTATTGCTTTGTCTAGAATGTTTCACAGTATGACATTAAACTTTCATATCATAATGCAGACTAAGCCAGCGCAAGTTACAGGTCAGATCTGTGGAGAGGCAGCCCTGCTCACAGTCAGAATGTTTGATTTTCTAGGTATTTATGAGAAACAAAATCACCTATCATTGAATAAATGTAAGGTAGAGCTGTTTAATGTCATACTGTGGAACATTTGAGACAGTAGAATGGCATCTCCATAGAAACAAGAAGGTGATGGATCCTCAACCGAAGATTATCTTTTTATCAATTATCTTACCTGTTGCTGTCAGTTTTCTGGTCAGATTATGTTCAACAAAGCTCTGATTAAATTCTGACTTGAGTAACAGAGCTTCAGACAGATCAGTGCTTCCAGTTAGCGTCACGCCCTTAAGAAATATATTGATGCCATGAGCTGCAAAGTATCTGTAGCCAAATCTTTTCTTTCTGAACCGTCTTCCCCTCCCACATAATCTGTTTGTATCTGTGTCCAATTTCGGCGCGTTTCTTGTGTGTAATGTATGTGGGAGCACGGGGTCCAGCAGCGGGGGATGTTTATGAATGCTTTGAGGAGGCCCCGCGGGGTCAAAGGTCGACAAGTCACCGAGCCGGAGCCACTAATGGGCTGTTTTTCACTGGCTCCGTCAGTACACACTCGCACAAGAGCTGTCAGATGCGAACGCGCAAATAATCTGCCTTACATTTACTTACACGCCGACGTTTGGGAAGTTGTTTAAAAGGGGCACTGTGGAACTTTTATGGTTTGCGTGCTTGTTTACATGGTGATTTTTAAAATGTATTTGTTTTTATTTTGCACATAGATGACACGTAGCAAAAGTAGATTAAATACAGAAGTGTGTTTAAAAGTTTGTGCAAAGAGAAGCAACGTTAAAAAAGGCTTAGAAATGTTAAAGCTTTGGCAACACAGCAAAAAGTGGAGTGTTAAAATTGACTCTCACAGAATCAATTTTAACATTTTCTCAGTGCTTCTATGAGTCCAATCTGTTCTAGAGTTAATTCAACAATTTTGGAAATGTTAATTAAGTAACACTGGACTAAATTCCTGTTTTACCCCAAAATCAAGAGTTATATTAACGTTTTGAGAGTAAACAGATAACACTTCGTAGGGTTATCCTGATTTAGATAAACAACACATACAGGTGTTTTATTTTTACACTTTATTTTTGTTAATTTAAGATGAAATTATGTACAAAACTGGTTCAAACAGGTTTTCTCTCATAGGAGTTTGAAGTGGTGCTTGGGAGGAGCCAAATGAACACTAAGGGGAGTTGAATTAACACTAGAGGAAGTTGAATTAACACTAAGGGAAGTTTAATTAAAACTAGGGGAAGTTGAATTAACTATTAACCCATATCACCTCTGGCAAATAACCCCAACTCAAACTGCCATTTAACTTTCAAATAATTAAAATTAAATGTTTTGTGTTTAAAACAACTCTGAAACATTTCACTGTGAAATTTTAACCCTCCAGTTTTTGCTGTGATGGAATATTCCACAGTATGGCATTATAAGAGCTTATAAGAGATAACCTGGGAACACTACTAGTCGAAGTTACAGGTCAGATCTGTGGCGAGGCGTCACCTCCATGTCAATAAATGTTTTCAAGTTGAGCAATAAAAACACCACTAAAGATATAGAATGAATGCAATACTGTGGAACATTCCTGACATAGAAATAACATCTCCATGGAGACAAGCAGATAAAAAAGTTACACAGTGTACCTTTAATTAAGAATATCTCAATGGTTTACATTTCAACTCGTCAATTTGAGCTGTCTATCTAGCGCTATTATACATGTGCACGACCCTAAAGCACTGTTGTCCTTGTTTAAATGCCGTCGATTTGAGCTTCTGAGGCAGAAGTGGAGTAACAAGGCACATTTTAAAAGTGTACTGGTTTTATTGTAGCATGTAGCATTTATTGTAACATGTGTTAGATTTGCGGCAGAATACCTGTTAGATGATTGAATAGTTTGGATTTAATGTTTGATTTTATCCTTAGCATTTTCACAACATCATATTTTATTTTGTTTCCATGTATAGAAAACGTTGTAAACTTGTTTAGAAAGGCGATGTGTACATAAAATATCACTATATTATGATCGGAAATTCACACTGTAGAATATGAGATTAGTGTTAAATATTATATATGTAATACTATTTACATATTACAAATACTTCAGTGTTTCCAGTCATGGCTTTCTCTTATATAGAAGAAGCCTTATTTGATAGAAGATATAGGCCTGTCGAAATAAGCTCCTCTACCCAAATTCATATTAATGAGTGAATAATGATGTTCTACAGTGGGAGTGTTATTCGACGGACACATTGGCCTGTCGATATGTGCTCCCTTTAGTCAGAGCCCTATTTGAGCAGTATACGGCTGTCAAAATGAACTACCTATGCATATTCATATAAATGAATTGAAATTTGACATAAATAAGGTATAAAATTGTATCACCGTGTGCAAACAGCATCAAACCCGCTGTCTCGAATGTTGTAAAACTGGGAAGGTTAGGGTTAGGCTTTATTGAATCTGTACAACTGTAAACGAAAAAAAAAAAAAAAGTAAGGTCGCTTATTTCAACAGGGTAGCGTGAATCAATAGATGTCACTGTCGATTTAGGCTGCTGGGATTTCAACGGGGCAGCCCATTTCAACAGAACACCGGTTTGTCCGATTTTCCTCATCTTTGTCCTATTTGCGGAATGTGGAATTGCGTTTAATTAACTCTGCGTTTAGGTGTTGTTTAAATGCACACTCGAAATTGTTAATGCATTCAAATCTATGCTTGAGAAAAGTCTAGATGAAGAAGTATAATAAGTAAAACGTTGAATTAAATTACTACTTCGTATAAAGATTGGACTTGCAAATGAGGAATTTCCCAGAAGTTTTCAGATGGCGAATTAAGACTGATCGTAAAACTGGATTCATTAACGCGGCAAACGATTTTGGAGCCGCAACAGCAACAAAACAAAAGAGAAAAAAAGTTAGAGAGAAGAAGAAGAAGAAGAAAGAAAAAGTTGCATTAGATAGGAAGTAGAGAGATAGAGAGAGATGACGTTTTCTTTCCCAGGGTACATGAGTAAGAGAGATATGCTAAAAAGACTATGCTAACAAGGCTAGGCTAACAGGGCTATGCTAACAGGGCGGCCATGTTGGTGCTGTTGATGCTGTGGTCTCACCTTGGATCCTCGTTCGTTAAAGATAATCTCCACGTCCAAGATCTTCCCGAATTGCTGCAGAAACAAAACAAAAGAGGAGACAGAAGGAGAGAAAAGTTAGACAAGCTCGAGATTTGTTCAAACGTGACAAATTTTCATGTTTTTTTTCCTAATTATGATTTGATTTGGTGGAGTAGTACTTAAATACGTGTCATAGCTGTACATCGGTTAAAGCTGCGTTGTGTAACTTTTCCGGTGGGGGGTCTGTCATATGCTTTGTCTGGGATGTTTCACAGCATGGCATTAAACCTTGCGATCTTCACAGAGACCAAAATAGAGCAAGTTACAGGTCAGATCTGTGGAGAGGTGACCCGCTGACAGTCAGAACACCTGATTTTTTAGGTATTTTTGAGCTGTAAAACTAATTTTAATTGAATAAATGTAAGGTAGAGCTGTTAAAAGTCATACTGTGGAACATTCCAGGGAGAGCAATGACATATAGTATCCATAGAAACAAGCAGGTGACCGACCCCCAACCAAAAAGTTACATCGTATGACTTTTAGTGGTTTGTGGAAAGAAAAAGCTGAAAACAAAAGTACAAAAACACAGGAAGTAGTAGTGAGTTTTAAAACGGAATACCTCTAAAAATGTTTACTCAAGTAAGTGTAACGTTACTTTAAAGGGCCCATCTCATACAAAATAACTCTTCACATTGTATCTTCTGCAAATATAAAAGCACAATTTGGGTTTTGGAACATCCATTACACGATAGTTATGACATTTTACTGATTTCTTGGAGGCGTCATAGACCAGGAACTCTGAAAGACCGACTATTGCTCATCCCCCCGCCCGTCCTGAGAAAGCACAGGCTCCGCCCTCCAAACTCTGAGTGAGCCGCCCTTCCTCCGCCCATCTCAGGGAGGGAGGGGGCGACAGATGTCCACCCTGATAGTGGCAGGAATAAACTTTTATTCATCATGGAGATACATGCGTTCAGCCGCATGTGTTGGACCCGGAATCAGACGAGGACTTTGAGGTGCACGAAGCTCAAGCACCGCGTCCACATCAGCTGATTGGTAAAGTATTAATAAACGTTAGTAGATAAACGTATTATAGCTCAATTAGCTTATGCTGTCACTTTTGTTTAGGTGTTCATGTGGAAATTGTCAGCCGAGGCGAGGTGGAGGCGGGGCGGAGGCGATGGAGAGGGAAACGCGTCATAGCTGGCCACGTCATCATCATAGCAGCTTTATTTCGATGTCACGTGGGAGGGTGGCAGAAATACTCTGCGATTTGTTAAAAAAAAATAAATAAATAAACGCCAAATCAATCTAAAAACCACTTCGAAGACATAGAAGTTAGAAAGCTCTGAAAAGTTGATTTTAGATGAGATGGGCCCTTTAAGATAATATTACTTAAAGTAGTAGTATTAAAGTAGTGGTCTATTATACTACTATACTCAAGTTGGATTAAAAAAACAAAAAAACAAAAAAAAACACTGTATTTGAGAAAAGTACCATTAAAGAAAGAGTAACTTAAATAGTAACTGTAACACCTGATTTGATGTTACTTAATTTAAAGGATAAAACATCAAATAATGCACAAAGTATAGCCCACAGAAAGGAGAAAAACGAAAAAGTACTCTGAAAAAGCACAATCACATTAACAAATCACTCAAGTAAATGTAACTGAGTGCCACCTCTGTCAACCCTGAGCATTCAAATGTCTAAAATACAGGGAAAAGTGTGTATATAATTAAACACAAAGATGTTCCCAAGTCCTTCTCTAAACAAAGATCAGGATTGGTCGTAGAGAAAACCATTCGAAATCCCTGAAATGGCTTAAATTAAGTCTCACAATGGAAAGAAATGTAGCTGTGAATGTTGTTAAGTGCGTAATGATCATGAAGGAACCAAATAGAATTAAAATACTTAAACACCAGACTCGCTAACTTCATTTTCTGCTAATGTTTGCAATTAAAGAAAGTGTCCAATTTTCCTTAAACATTAGCGTCATGGAGATAATACAGAACAGGGATGGAAAATGTAAAAACGTGCGCTATAGAGAAAGAAAAAGAGAGTTTAAATGAGACAAGAAATCCGTGTAGTGAAGGCTATTTGGATTGGGTCGTGTCCAGTAAAGATGCGGAGTTTAAATACATGACTGCGCTGAGTGTTGCCTGGGTTGACACCTAATGACATCATAAGGTGGGCCGAATATTTTTGGAGTTTGAAGAAGAACGGAGCATATTTTTGCAAGATTATCCCAACAAATGAATGAAACAAAACATAATTTCAGTCACTTTAACTCAAATCTCAAAAGCTCAAAGGTAAAAATAAGGTATGGTAAAGTAAAATAATGCAATAAAGTAAGGTAATATTAATAAATAATATATATAATAATAAATGTAATAAGGTAAAAATGTTGTGGGAATAAGTATGGATAAAAGATAGCATCAAGAAAAGTTAAGTCTTAACTCAGAGGTAAAGAAAGAAAAGTGTTCAACTGCAAATTCCCAAGTAACTTAGTAATTCTCTTTGGTGTTGTATGTCAATATTTTTTCAGTTAATCACAAAATGTGATTAAATAGGCCTCAAAATAAAGTGAAAAAGAGTAGAGGGTAGTTTTGACCAAGGCCCAGTCCACACTAGTGAGCATTCGAATAGTTTTCATTGTGGATGCAGTGTTCGTTCACACTAATCCGACGGAAAACAGCTCCACAAACGGAACGATCTGGTGCCTCCAGCTCCCACGAATTTGAGTAAAGATCTGATCCGGCAAGGTGTGAAAACGCTGATACGCTGATGTAGGTCTATGCGCCGCGAAGTAATTCACCGCTAAAACAGTAAGAGGGTAGAATATATGTCCCATCCTCGTCGCCACTTGTTATATCCCTGCAAACTTCCTAGTAAAATACACTCAAATGCAGGAGTAACGTTCAACATGTGCTTTACTGAGGTTCTCATAGACGTACAGAAAAACAACAGTGTATAGATAACCCATCATGCACAGAACATCATCTATGGTAAGCAGGAAGGACAAACATAACAATTTGTACGTACGGTCTGTCTGACCTGCAGACATATAATCTCTGAAAAGTTTAACATGAACCATCTCCAACATGACAGAAGCACAGAACAGACTCACCATCAGCAGAACACCCCTCTGTCACAGAAACAACACTCATATTCCACTGAGTCGTGTCCTTTAGTCCAACAGAAGCTGAACCACATCAGCGCACAATAGCAAACTCTTTTTTGAGCCCTCAGTTTATGCAAATGAGCCATGTGGTTTTAAGTTTCGTTTCTGTAAATTGTAAACAAATATTCTATAACTAGGATTGCGGACACAGAAACGATGTGTTTGGACACAATCGTTTCTGTTATGGTGATTCGCTTCAGTGTAAACGTAGCCCAAGTCTACCTCAAGATCTGAAGAAGACCACCCCACGACTGTAGCTGTACACTTTATTAAACCTTATTAAAAATGTCGATTGTGACCTTTTCAGAAGCAAAATTAAGTCAATTTAATGTCGAGTTATTTTGTAAATGAAAGTGACTTGAGGATTCGTTTGAGGTTGTTTGGACACGGTGTCAATAGAAATGAATAATTAAAGGACTACAATTTGACAGTGATATTGTAATGTTATTGAATAGTTTGTTTTCAGCAGAGAACCCCTAGTTTCATTCATCTGTCTGTCTATTCTTTTTCTTTTCTCGTTCTCATATACCCACTCCTCTCTTTCTCTGTCTCTGCTTTTTCTTCAATACCCACTCCTCTCGCTTTCCCTCTCTCGCCTCTTTCTTCCGTACCCACTTCTCTTTCTCCTATACCCACTCTTCTCTTTCTCTCTCTCTCTGTTGTTTTTCCTATACTCACTCCTCCATTTCTCTCTCTGATTGTTATTCTATACTCACTCCTTTCTTTCTCTCTCTGCTCTTTATTTTGTACTCACTCCTCTCTTTCTCTCTCTGCTCTTTATTTTGTACTCACTCCTTTCTTTCTCTGCTCTTTATTTTGTACTCACTCCTCTCTTTCTCTCTCTGCTCTTTATTTTGTACTCACTCCTTTCTTTCTCTGCTCTTTATTTTGTACTCACTCCTCTCTTTTTTTCTCTGCTCTTTATTTTGTACTCACTCCTTTCTTTCTCTCTCTGCTCTTTTTCCTATACTCACTCCTCTCTTTCTCTCTCCTCGTTCTCCTTTACCCACTCATCTCTCTCTCTTTCCATGCCCTTTCTCTTATACCCACTCCTCTCTTTCTCTCTCTCTCCCTCTCTCTTGTCTTTCTCCTTCACCCACTCCTCTCTTACTCTCCCTTCTCTGTCTTCTATACCCACTTCTCTGTGTCTCTCTCTCTCTCTTTCTCTGCTCTTTCTCTTATGCCCACTCGTCTCTCTCTGTCTCTGTCTCTCTCTCCTATACCCATGCCTCTCTTTCTCTCTACTCTTTCTCCTGTACCCACTCATCTACCTCTCTCTTTTGTTTCTCTCTTGTTCTCTTTGCTCTTTCTTCTATATCCACTCCTCTTCCCTCCCTCTGCCTCTCTCTCTCTCTTCCTCATGCCACTCCTCTCCTTCTCTACCCTTTCAACCTCTCCATCCATCTGCTCCTCTTGTCCGTCCGTTCTTCCGTCTGTGTTTGGGTGCTCTCGCAGTCAACAGGACCTGCAGGCCTCGTCCCCAGAGCCCCCCCTTCAGAGCCCCCCCTTCAGAGCCCCCCCTCCGAGCCCTCCCTCTCAAAGCCCCCTCGTGCTCCGGCCTGTTTTGGACTCACATCCTTCTTTCTTCTTTTGCGAGGATCATTAGAAAACCTGGCGACGAGAGCGAGACCAGAGCCCCTCTAACGACTCCGGCGAACGCGCCTTTTAATTGGTGTCTACAATGGCCGTATTATTTCATTAAAAGTAATTAGCCTGTCAAACGGGCCGCCTCGCCTGCATTTGGGCTCCGCGGGGCAGAAATGGGCTCTCCGCACGCTGGGCCCAAGCTGAGTCCGGGACGATGGATGGTTCGAGATGGGCTGATAGTTTTCGTTCACGTGACAACACAACATTCTCGAATGTAGAATTACAC